CCTGCGAATTCTTCTTGTTTTTAAACTGGCTCGGTGGAAAGAGTTTCACGTCGTATAAGGAGGTTATCGCCTAAACAGAGGCCTATTTTGCAGAGTTCGATAAATCATATTTCTCCTAGCGGTTAAAAATGGCAGGGACGTTGGGAATAGTGTATTCTCCTAAAAGAGGATTATGTTAAAAAATAAAAAATAATTTGTTTAAAAAACTTGTGTATTTATTACTAACAAGGTATATATTGATCTCATCTTGTAACCTATCCCATTTTATGTACCTAAATATATTGTATCGCATTCATCAAAAATAAGATACTAATTTGCTTGAAAATTATTAAGTATCATGAATTTTGTAAAATGAGAGACCTTTACATAATTTGATATGTACTATCAGCAGATAATGCTCTGTCGTTATTTAGCATATATACGAGGGCAATCTGATAAGTAGTAGGATTTACGCATGGTGGTGTCACTGCAGCAAAACCGGTTTTACTATCATATAGCCCCATCTTTCAAACAATGCCTGTTAAAATTTCAGCCTAAACCGTTTATTTGTTTTTTGTTGGCAACTGATTAAAATAAACGCCTCAGCCATTGTCATGAATATGGAAAAAGAGCAATATCGTTCGGTGAATCGTTATCTTTATATGGATCGGAAAACGTGTAAAGAAATAAAAGAAAAATTGGAATCCGTTTCCGGGGGTGTTACTCCTACGAAAAGCATTTAGATGGTACACCCGGTTTCGTTGTGGTCGCACATCCGTCTTTGATAATGACCGTCCCAGACGGTCAAAAGAGGTTACTACCGATGATTTTGTCGAAAAAGTGCACAATATAATATCGGCCGACCGTCGGGTGAAGGTGCGTGAGACAGCAGACATGGTAAAGATTTTGAAAGAACGCACAAGATATATCATACATAATATATTGCATATGAGAAAGTTATTGGCGCGATGTGTGACGCGGTTGCTCACTATAGGCCAAAAACGAAATCGAGTAGTCAGTTCGAAGATGTGTTTGAAGCTGTTTCATCGCAATTAGGCGGAGTTTCTGCATCGTTTTTTGACTGTAGATGAAACGTGGGTCCATTACTATACACCAGAGACCAAGCAGCAGCCTAAACAGTGTATTGTACTTAGAAAAAGAACTCTGAAGAAGGCCAATACGGCCACATCAGCCGGAAAAGTCATAGGTACATTATTCTGGTATTCCCGCGGTGCATTCCTCATAGATTATTTGCACAAGGGAAGATCTTTCACGAGGTACTACTACAGTGATTTGCCGGGACGTTTCGACGTGTAACTGAAAAAGAAACGGTCTCATCTTGCAAAGAAGAAAGTCCTTTTCCATCACGACAATGCACCAGCATATTCATTTGCAATCGCTACTCACAATACGCAATCCGCATAGCTAATCTGGTCGAATTGAGACACAAACTGCACACCCATCCGCCGTTCTCTCCAGATTTAGACCCCGGGAGACTTTCTCCTGTTTCACAACATAAAAAATGGCTTGCAGGAAAGAAATTCACGTCGAATTCGGAGGCCATCTCTGAGGTAGATGCCTATTTTGCAGTGTTTGTGCAATCATATTTTTTGAGGGGATTAAAAAATTACAACACCGTTGGAAGAAGAGCATAGAAGTAGATGGGTACTATATTGAAAAATAAATAGAAATTTTTCCGAAATATTGGGTTTTCATTTCAAATCCTACTACTTATCAGACCTCAGACTTCGTATATGTTGCGACCGTTATTTGCGACTCGGCTGCTCCGAGTCGCCGGTGCAACACCGACGGGCGAACCTCGAGCCGTTACTTAACTCCGGACCTCCACGAATCCGTGTGGGCGCTAGGTGCGCGAATCGCACCCACTAACGGCGGGCCCCGTGGTCGGCGTTGCCGTCCGCGCGTCGGCCACTCGACCCGAGTTCGTCCCGATCGGGACCGGCAGCTCCGGGGTGATTTAAGTCGGAGGCCGGGGGAGTCCGTATGGTCGCCGGTGGCAGTCGGCGACCGACACAGGAATAGGAACGAATGAAAAAAGAACCAGAAAGGAAAAAGAACAGCGACCTCGATAGCACTCGCGTTTATTTCGTCCGTCTCTTTTTTGTTTCAAACCGCGTAAAAACAATACAATACGTACTCGTTCGTTAATATGTCGCAGCGGACCCGGGACTTCCGCTTCTCGCGATCGATAATCGACCGGCCGTCGAGCCAAGGGGCCGAGATTTCGCACGCCACGAAAATCCCAATCATCAAAAAAAAATTAACAAATAATAGAATGCGGTGAGGCGGCCTTACAATTGCGGGCTCCCGGGCGGCTGGTCCTCGTCGGTAATCCTCTCTCCTTCTCTCTCGCTCTCTCTCTCTCTCTCTCTCTCTCTCGCTCGCTCGCTCGCTCTCTGTCCCTTGCTCGTTCTCTCCCTCTGGTCACCGCCAAGTGCCTTTCAGCTCCGGGACTCCTTCACAAAGGTCACACGCGTTTTTCTCGGTACGGTAGCAAAAGCGCGAAACGACAACGTGAGGCGATATCGGTAGCTCTCTCTTTTTCGATGATAGCTCTCACTCGTTGGTAACGGTAACTCCAACTGCTCCAAAATTTTGTAACCGACAAGGTCGTAACGAGCCGCTACCTCTTCCACCTTCCTTTTCAGCAGCCGAATCTTTGCCGGCGGTGCCCGAGTCGCCTCCGAGCCCGCCGTTCCACCGCCGGTCTTTCCCGGCGCGGTTGCGCGGCTCCGGGCTCCGTTATCCTTAGCGCGATCTCGGCCCGCCGGCCCTACCGTCGTCGAGGAATCGAAGGGGTAGCCCCTATAGTGTCAGCAGCGGCCCTTCGTCGGTCATCTCAGAGCAGAGGACGGCGTGGTCCTCCGCCCGGCTGTCGACACTCCTTCTTATTCTCGCCGCCCTTCGGAGCGGAGTGTACACTCGGTCGGAGCGCGGGGCTCGCCTCTACCGCTACCGCGCGCCCGCAGCGCGCGGTCTCCGCTAACTCAAAAAAGAGTACAAACAAAAAAAACTAATAACGTTAATTCGGCGCGCTCGTATGAGTATGCCACTCCCCCTACGATAGAGCCTTCGCCCTTGGGACGGGCGCTCCGAGCCGCCACGTCACAATGTATATATAATATTTAATTGCTTTACTTCCGAGGATATACAGCGTCTTAAATCAGCGTTCTGCCAAAGTTTTGTAAACATTACTGTTTACATCATCAAGGTTTGGAACTTTGATACTTAACCCTTGGATATTTGTTGACTTTATATATCCTTTCTTATTCTTGCAAGAGAGGAGCGGGGATAAAAGAAGAGAAGTTGGTTCCAGCCAATTAGCGTTTTTTTTATTGATTAGCTGATCAATTAAAAAACCGGAAGGGCAGTATGCCAAATGAGGTTCACCAGCATATTCTTGTTATGGTTGAGGTTATTAGGATGTTTAATCATTTTTAGGTCTTCACGATGTTTTTTGGCAAAATAGCCTAGTGACAGAGCTAGTATAATAGCCTTATCGTATTGTACGAAGCGTTTGTCTCCATTCAGTGTTTGACTAAGGCTGATTGAAAAAAGTGGCTGTACTTGGTGTACCGCTGGTGTTCCTTGATCCGTGTTCTGATTTTCTTCCCAGTATCTCTTACATACACCTTTCCGCAAGTGCAGGAGATCTTATATACACACGGTGTTTCTAGGCGTGGTCTTTAATCTTTGGAGTTAGGGAGAAATTCTCACAATCTTATCTCTTATCTTATATATCTCATATTCCTTTGGGGTTTTAAGAGGACTCCGATGTCGTATTTGTTCAGATTCCTGCCTATTCGTTTTATTATACCTTGGAACTAAAGACAGCCGCCTTTTTATTTTCTGTTTCCTCATCTGATATTTCATTGTCTTCAGGACCAGCCATTTTGATTTTCATTTTTCTAGGTATTCGGATTTTCGGTTTTCGGTTTTCGAGATTTCGTTGATTTCTTTGCTATTGTATCCATTCCTTGTTAAGGCTAGCTTGAGATCTGTCTTACCTCTGGCTAGCTTGAGAACTCTAGTTCTTTATCTCTGGAAGTTAGTTCGAAAATTGTTAGCGCTCTGTATGGAGCGTACTATTGTAATATAAAAATTAATATTATTAATTATATCTTTAGATTATATCTAAAATAACTTGTTAGCTAATTTGCTAGCGAACTTTCTATCTACATGAGATTGCCCGCAAAGTGCAATCACAGCATTAAAATGTTGTGTAGCGCATTCTGCGAGTCGGAGGCTGAATCGGTGCATATGCAGAAGTCACCAATACCAAAATATTTCAATTTCGAAAATACAACGCTAGCGGAACTGAAATGCTGAATTGGTGCGAATGCGGAAACTACCGAGTTTTGGCTCTCTATATACGCAGGAGTTAAAGCGCATAAAGAAAGCTGTTAAACTGTTCAGTTCGGGTTCGAGTCAGACTGGAGAATCTTACAGTCGGATAGACTGAAGAAATCTGTACGGGTACGTGCTGTGCCGCGCTTATCCATTAACGAGAGTTGAAAGAATAAAATATAATTTTTTTTTATTCATGGTACACATTAACTCCTTATTCTTTCTGTCTCTCTTATATTCTTCCTGCTCTCTTTTTAATCGAACAGTTGAACAAACATACAACAAGTTGGAAAAATGCTTAACAAACCTGGTAGTATTGAACTATACTAACGAACTTCTAACGGATTTCTTATGAGAAAGGTAGTGAGAGAAGATCGCACGAAGATATCGGTCAGTGTGTATTGGTTTTCGGTAGACCTAGGGAGCCATCGTCGTTCCTTTGTATTAAAACATTTAGGAAGGGGATTTCATTGTTTTGTTTCATCTCCATTGTGAACTGGATGTTGGTGTGTTGTGAAATGAGAAAGCCGAGAAATTGGTAGAGTGTTCTCCTTCCATGAAATGTCCTTCTTTCAAATGACAAAGATGTCGTCAACATTTCGATGCCGTTTATGGAGGGCATTTTTTAAGTTGTCATTCTCAAAATGTTCCATTTAGATATTTGCAATGATGGAGGATACAGGAGAAGTCATTGCTGTTTCTGATGTTAGTTCAAAGAAGTCTCTTTGGAACTGGAAGTAGATTGAGGTTAAGCAATGTTCTATTAATGGAAAAAAGTTGGTGGGGATTCTTCCGGAATTTTTGATGATGCTTAGTGTGTCCTGGACCGGCATATTAGTGAACAGCGAGACTACATCAAAACTTACCAAGATGTTGGTTCTTGTTTTGATTTTGCTGATTTTGTCCATGAAGTCCATCGAGTACTTGATGTGAGAATGACTCAGCCTGGTAAGTTTTTAAAGGGATTTAGTTAGATAGCGAGCTAGTAAGAAAGTTGGTTTACCAATATTGCCGACAATGGGACGTAGGGAAAATGATTTTTTATGAATTTCGGGAAGACCATAAAATTTAGATGTTGCTGTATCTCGGAGGGTCATGTTTTTGCTAATGAGGGTGGAGATCAGTATTTTTGAGAAGAACCGTTTTCTTCTCTACTGGCGGTCAGAATGCGTTTTAGTTTCTTTTAAACTTTGTGGTCTGAGCGTATGTCGTTGACTTTATTCAAGTAGTCTTCCCGGTCTCTGACCACCGAAGCGTTCCCTTTGTCTGCTGGCAGAATTAGGATTTTGTTGTTTTTTTTTAAACTTCAAAGTGCTAAGCGCTCTTTCCTGCTTATATTTTGTTTAGAAAGATTAACCTTATGTAAGAAGTTGATCGTCTGACTTCTATTGTCATTGCTTGTCTCTGGGAAAATGTGAAAGATTGCTGTTTTATTCTACGAGAGCTGTATGATAAGTATACATGTTAAGGAAGGAAACGCATTAAAAAAAAATTTTTTTACTTATTTCTCAACAGTCTTCTTTCAGCTCGATACACTTTGTTCAGCGTCATTCCAACATTTTTATGTCAATCAAAAAATATTATTTGTCGAACTCCGAAAATTAGGCCTCTGTTTCGGCAATGACTTCCACGTTTGACGTGAACTGCTTTCCGCCAAGCTATATTTTCATGTATGGAAATAAATGGAAACCGCATAGAGCATGGGGTCTGAAGAATAAGATGAATGAGACAACAATTCGTAGCGTAATTCAACCAATTTAGCTATGTCAATTGCGGACGAGTGAGCTGGTGCGTTGTCATGATAAAGAAGCATATTTTCTTCGCCAAATGGGGCCGTTTCTTCTTCAATTCAGCGTCGAATTGGCTCAATAAGTCAGTGCAGTATTGCCCCATGATTATCCTTTCCTTTTTCAAATAATCGGTGAAAAAGATGCCTCGCCAATCCCAAAAAACGGTGGCCATGACCTCTGCGACCGATAGAACTGTTTTGCCTTTTTTGGAGAAAGTTTGCCGGGTGAAGTCCATTGTTTTGACTGTTCTTTCGTTTCTGGCATGTTGTGATGGATCCATATTTCGTCTACAGTGACGTAACGTCGCATAAAATAACTTTTTCAGAATGCGCTTAAACATGTCCAAACAGTGCTCCGAAGTTGTCATACGACTCCGTTTTTGTTCTACTGTGAGCAAATATAGTATTCATTTCGCCGATAGCTCTTTATGCTCAATTTTTCGTGTAGGTTATTTTGTACGCGTTTAATTCAGACGCGTTTACAATGTCAATAATCTCTCTGATCTTTACCGGGTGGTCTGCAAACACGATATTATGAATTTTTTTGACCATATCCTACGTAGTCATCTGAATCGGACGACTTGAGCGCGCATCATCAGAAACCGATGTTCGGCCACGCTCGAATTCAGTGAACCCATATCTAATAATAATCACTGAAGGTGTATGGTCCATAAAAACGACATGAAACTTCATTTTTATTTCCTCACATATCTTCCCATCCAAAAAAAAATTGAATCAGTGATCGTTATTACGAGGGCGGTTCAATAAGTACCCGTGTTAGACGACAGAGGGCGTTCCTGAGAGAAGTTGGTGTTATCATCGTGTGCTGTCATCTATCAAACGACGGCAAAACAAATTGCAGACTGATTGATAGGTTAGTTTGGATTTGGCAGCCATTCGAGTAAGACGTGTTTCGTGATTTTCGCTAAGATGGAAAAAGAGCAGTATCGTTCGGTAATTCGCTTTTTGATTTTGGATGGGAAAAAATGCGAGGAGATAAAAGCAAAGTTGGATGCTGTTTATGGGGACACTTCGCCATCTATGACCACAGTTAGATATTGGTTCAACGAATTTAAACGTAGGCGAACATCCGTTTTTGATGAGGAGCGACCAGGACGCCCGGCAGACGTGGTTACCGAGGAAATCATTCAAAAAGTCCACGACATGATTCTTGCTGATCGACGAACGAAAGTGCGCGAAGTAGCAAAGGCCGTAGGTGTGTCGATCGGAACGGCAATTAATATTTTACATGATAAGTTGGCGATGAAAANCGTCGATTGCTGGCTACTGCTGGCCTTTTTTCCAACAATGCTTCATTCAGACGGTTTAATTGTGATTGATATCGATCCCCCGTGATACTTTCGTTTGGTCTCAATAGCTCATAATAAACGACGCCGTGCATATCCCACTAAATGCAAAGCATTGCTTTGTGGCCATAAATATTTCTCTTTGGTGTGGATGTCGATGGTTGGCCAGAGTCTACCCATGATTTTCTTTGTTTAGGATTATCGAAGTATATTCATTTTTCATCGCCAGTCACTATGCGCCACAAAAAACTCTTCTTTTTCTGCCTGGCGAGCAGAGAAATAGAGATGTTTAAGNGCGTTGTCGTGCAAAAGCATGACTTTACGTCGATTGCTGGCTACTGCTGGCCTTTTTTCCAACAATGCTTCATTCAGACGGTTTAATTGTGATTGATATCGATCCCCCGTGATACTTTCGTTTGGTCTCAATAGCTCATAATAAACGACGCCGTGCATATCCCACTAAATGCAAAGCATTGCTTTGTGGCCATAAATATTTCTCTTTGGTGTGGATGTCGATGGTTGGCCAGAGTCTACCCATGATTTTCTTTGTTTAGGATTATCGAAGTATATTCATTTTTCATCGCCAGTCACTATGCGCCACAAAAAACTTTTCCTTTTCTGCCTGGCGAGCAGAGAAATTGAGATGTTTAATCGATTCGCAATGGCATTTGCGGTTAATTCGTATGGTACCCATTTTCCCTCCTTTTGAATTTTTCCCATTGCATGTTTGGAAACAGCCATCGGAGTAACATTTAATGCTGCAGACAATTCTTGGAGCGTTTGAGTAGAGTTTTTGTCCAATAATGCCTGCAAATCGGTGTCTTCAAACTTTTTCGGTTGGCCTGAGCGTTCTTTATCATTGACATCAAAATCACCAATCTTAAATCGCTGAAACCATACTTGGCATGTTCTTTCCAATGGAGCATAATTGCCATAAGCTTCGAAAAGCAATTTATTATCTGCAGCTGCAGTTTTTTTCAAGTCAAAGTAATAAAGCAGCACATGTCGAAAAAAACAACTTATCGCGTTCCATATTTAATCAAAAGGAAAAATAGCATTGCTCGCTTAAATGAATCTTTTCGCACAGAATTTTATTGACAAATGTCTAACCTCTAAAATGCATCCAGTTTCAGATGTCAAAATAAATTACACCTACAACTAACGTCATCTAACTGTGAGCCGCAGGAACTAAGTTTACCACCTAATACATTAGAATCGTGCAAAATCAATTAAGAATCCATGATACCTATCATCCTTATCAAAGACACCTTTGGTACTTTCGGGATTTTTGTAATAGCCGTTCATAATACAAGAAAACTTGACACAGATCTCACTATGTACGATGAACTTTAACGGTTTTCCGGTTTCCAAATCTGCTATTATTACACGAACATTTTTACATATATAACCGCTAGACCCGATCCTTTCAGTGTCCTTTTGACAAGAGATCACTCCTGTCTCGGTCATACCTATAAAAATTCATGAACAGTAGGGACAAATTTGAACTTTATCAACGACATCTCTTGGTGCATTATACGATTACATTTGGTAGCAATTGTGAACACACACCATATACCATCGTAATAGAAATATCCGACATTGCCTTTATAATTTTCTCGTGAACGTTAAGTCTGATTGTCGTGCCGCCGAATATGATTTGCCTCAAAGAAAAGATATCATATTTTGTTAAAGCGTTGGCCTTTTCAAATGGTGGAATATCCAAAATTATATTATCCAGTTCTTCTGAAATGGAATAAATACATAAGAGTGTAATTTTATCTTGTCTTGACAAAGAGACATATCACAAATTATTACTCTATTAGGCTAATCTACGAGGACATATCGCAAAATGTATCTCCCGTTCATGTTAAATCGCTGACACAACTTTTTCGCAACTGAATCAATACTGCCTTTTAATTATTTTACGATACCTTGTATTTTTCTATTACTTGGCATTTTCTCAGCGTTAAACTTTGAGAACTTGATCGCTATCGAGTACGATAGTATAGAATCAACCGTCAATATCGCATCGGTAATACAACTTAAGAACCAGAACCATATGACAATGCTACCAGGTACTTTGACGGGCATTTGCTTGGTAGCCGGAGTTGTAAACAACGCCTTATATATTTCCACGGCTTTGGAAAGGCCAATCGTGCCAGAAGACAACAATAACAAGGCGGTATCCTGTATGTTTTTCTTCAATGTACAGAAAGACCCGTCGGTCTCGGCCTTGCCGAAATATCAGTCCATGAGTGAGTGGAATGATTCAAAGCTTTCGGCCTCATCGTAAACTACTATCTTCGGGGAAACGTGCAACTTTATCGAAGTATTAAGAACATCCGTGGGTTTGTCACCGATAATGAAAATTACTTTCGGCTAAGTCAGAAGAAGTATTCCATGCTAATTGAAAATACATATTTTTGTTAATAACTAAGCTTTTCAAGAACAGGGGCAGCAGGAAAGAAAATTGGTCGACGCGGGGACTGACGTCACGCGGGGGAGGGGGAATTTGTAGGTGCGGAGGCTGACATTACGACGGGGCTGACGTCACGGGGAAGGAGGGGCTGACGTCGCACGCGCAGGGATTGATGTTTGTACTGTATTATCGACATTATGTCGGTATTACCATTGTTATCCCTCTTAAGCAGTCAATATTCATCCAACGATCGATATTCCTCCATCGGAAAACGGATCCCACCAGCAGCCCATATTCGATCGCTTGCGGCGGTCTGCTCCCCACCCGCGACCCTTTCTGCGTTCGTCCGCAGCAATGATCCATCCGCGTTCGCATGCCTGATTCGCAACGATCTGCCCTCACCGCAGTCGCATAAATAAGCCCCGCATGGCAAAGAAACGGCTTACAAACGGTAAAGAACGGCAAAGAACGTTTGACGAATGTTGTTTAACGTTTTACGCACGTTTATAATACCGTTTATGAAACGTCTTACGTTTATATAATTCTGCATATAACGTTGTCACGTCCTAGAAGAGAACGCAACGACCGCACTCGCAAACGCGAGTCCCAAGCGTACTTGTATGTCAATGTCACAGACAAGAAGGGTCACTTTACTCCGACGCGAACGTACGCAGGGTGGTCCTAATTTAGGTCAAGGCCGAAACACTTTTTCTGAGATGGGACGGCGAGCGAACTAATTGGGGAAAGAGTTGTGGATTATGGGTGTAACGTCTTTTCGAAGGCATGTTAGGTAAGAATAGATAAAATGACCTGAAAGAAAGAAGGGAAAAAAAGATCTCGAAACTGATTGTTTATCAACTATCCCAGTTATACATGCTGTTCTTGTAATACGGCTGTTTCTATTAAGATGGATACATTCTAATTTTTTTCGATGCATTAACGTATGTATATGGTAAAAAGAAAGGGTAAGTATTAGAGAAATATTCATTTTCTTATTAAATTATAAAAACTGATTTTTATCCAATTTTATTAATTTCCAATAGCATCGGGCACAATAACTTTCAAAGCACATGCCAATAGTTAGTTTTCGGATCCGTGTTTTTTACAGAACTATTTACTCGGGACATTTACACATACGAGGACGGTCTGATAAGTAGTAGGATTTGAAATGAAAACGTAATTTTTCAGAAAAATTTTGATTTATTTTTCAACATAGAACCTTTCATATCTATACACATTTCCTAACGGTGCTGTAACTTTTTAATGACCTCTAAAAAGTGTGATTGTTCAAATTCTGCAAAATAGGCATCTACCTCAGTGACGACCTCCGAAATCGAAGTGAATTTCTTTCCAGCGAGATATTTCGTCATGTTGGAAAACAGGAAACAGTCGCCAAATCTGGAGAATACGGCGGATAGGTGAGTAGTATCTCAATTCGAACAGTTTAGCGATTGCAGATGAATGTGCTGGGGAATTGTTGTCACGGAACAGGACTTTATTTTTGCAAGATGAAGCCGTTTCTTTTTCAGTTCCACACCGAATCGTCCCAGCAAATTACTGTAGTATTGCCCTGTGATATATCTTCCTTTTTCCAAATAATCAATGAGAGTTACACAGCTAGAACCCCAGAATATTGTAGCCATTACTATTCCTGCCGATGAGGCCGTTTTGGCCTTCTTCGGAGCTCCTTCGCTAGGTAAAGTCCAGAATGCTGCTCAGAATGCTGCTTAGTCTCTGGTGTATAACGATTGACCCACGTTTCATCTACAGTCAGAATACGGCGATGAAACAGCTCCAAACACATCTTTGAATTGAATACCCGATTTCGTTTTTGGACCATGGTGAACAACCGCTGTACCCATCGCGACGATAGCTTTCTCATGTGCAATATATCATGTATGATATGTCCCGTACGTTTTTTTGAGATCTTAACCATGTTTGCTATCTCACGCACCTTCACCCGACGGTGGGCCAATATAATTTCGTGCACTTTTTCGACAGAATCTTCGGTAGTAACTTCTTTTAGCCGCCCGGGACGGTCATAATCAAAGACGGATATGCGACCACGACGAAACTCGGCGAACTATAAAAACAATGCTTCTCGAAGAATCAACACCCCCGTAAACGGGTTCCAATTTTTTTTTATTTCTTCACACGTTATCTTATCCAAATATAGAAAACGAATCACCGAACAATATTGCTCTTTTTCCATATTTACGACAATAGCTGAAGTGTTCACTTTAATCGGCTCCCAACGAAAAACTAAGGGACGGATAAGGTTGAAATTTTGACAGGCATTGATTGAAAATGTTTGTGAGCGAATGCACTCACTTTCTCGCGTGCAATGCTCCGCTGGATCAGCCCAGCGCAAGTCACGAAATGCAAGGAAGGATCGGTGTGGTGATGGAAATTCTTTGAAATCGAGCTGCGGTTGCGTAATTGTTTATTCTTCTGTTAAGCCAGAATGGCGATCTGGCCTTTACAATGCAGGCGTGATGATGTTCTTCCTTTTCTTGTGCCACGCGCATCCGCGGTTACAAGACGCAACACGATTCAAGTCAACGATCACAACGTTCAAAATTACAAATATGATTAAATGAAGACCGACAATCACTCGCGAAGTAGTCGCGAGGCCGCGAAAGATGTTTCGTAACAAGATAAAGAGAAAACGTGAGATTGATGTCTCGCACGGACGGTTGACCCGTAGCGAGCCGAGATACGCGAAAAATTAGAACCGAACAGCGTGTTCTAATTTCGATTCGAAAAATCTCTCTCGCTGAGAGTTCGCTTAACGTTTCTTCAACGGTCTCTCGGTGCTCTCAAGGCACCCAGTTTATATACCGATATCACGTTGGTTTTTTTTCAAGCGGAACGAATAAATTGATCGACCTTCGATCGAACGAAGCCTTTTCGAACATATTCAACTGTGGCAATGTTTTTTTTTCCAACATGACAATAAAGTGTTCTTATACCCGAACACGTGATGAGACACGCGTGTTCCATATTTACTTGTATTGTTAGCAATCCGCGTGTTATTGTTTTCGAGATTGTTTCCCGCATCATGCTCGGCTCACATGATGAGCATGATAACATTAACGATTTCCATTTGAATTCAATTAGAATTTTGAATAGAAAGATAGGGTTCTATGATGGTAAAACTGGTTTCGCTGCAGTGGCGCTACCATGCATAAATCCTGCTACTTATCAGATCACCTTTGTACATAGTTTGCATAATTAACCAAATAGTTTTATTTCCCATGTGAGGATTCTCACTTATATGTGAAGCACCTACATAGAACATTGTTTCCACTTACAAATTTTGATCGATATCGTCATCATATTTATTAAAAATCCCATAATATGAAAGAACTTTACCACATAGTAATAGCTCTCTAAATATTCTATAGCTTACAGGAATTTTAATATAAATATATGTGCGATGATTGATTTTTTCACGATTTATTGGTTCCCACAAATATATTGTTTTCTTGTGGGCTATAGTTCCACCAGAATAAACGTTATAATGTACCGTTTGAAATCTTTCATAGTTGTCCCAATGTATATCACGATCCGCATTTTCTTTTTTACAAATGTCCCGTATTTGCATATAAATTTTCTCTTTCCAACGGTAGGACCAACATCAAGGATTAAATGTACTTAACGTCTTGTTTGTTAAATTGATCGTTGGTTCCACATAGACAAAGTTTTCAATTTCGCAGAGACTGCACTGGCGATATGTGCTGCTCATGCGCGGGTCTTTCTCTATGATTTGGTTCCCCTTCGAGGACACAAATTATATCATGCTCATCTATGATTTTAATGTATTATTATGAATGAAACACAAACTTTTTATCACCTTTTTTTGAGATAAATTCTAAGTACACGCCAACAAAACACAAATTACACGACACTATCTGATACGGGGTCGTTGCAATTTGTATGATCGATTACTCGAAACGCGTTATACTTACCGGTTGTGTGTTGTCGCACTGTTTAAATACAGACAATTACCCTACCCACAGCATTTTTTCAACATAATTTATCCAAAATCTTTTTTTCTTTATCCCTATCTGAGAATTGGTTTTGATAAACATCTACTTGAGTGTAGCAAAATAAATTTCATAGTTTCTTATCTACCTCCTATGATACGTCTTATATATAGCTATACATCCACTGGTAATACGGTTGTTTCTGTTAAGATGATTACATTATTATTTTCGATGCGTTACGTCTGTTATATACAGTAAATAAAGGAAATGCAAACTTGATATTGTATACATCATGTATATAATAGCTTATTATGTTTATAATAGCTGATATTAATACAATTATATTTGTTGTGGTTTCAACCATCAGCTAAAAGTTTTTAATACATTTTGTAACGAGCAGTTTTTTCGATGATTTTCACATTGATATTAAATATTGCATCGAGAGAAAAAAATTCTTATATTTTTGTAACATATGCATTTCAAGTAATATTTTTTATTATACACATGGTACGTGTATTGTAGTGCATATATTAATGGGATAGGAGAGGTTTCAAAAGAAAACTGACTCAAATAGTAGAAACGAGGAAAAATCAAGGAAAAGCGTTTAATGTATCGTACACACTTCTGAGCCTCGTTGTGTCTCGTTTCAATCTGTTAATTTCTTGTTGTCACGCCGCTCACGT